TTTTGTTTTTTATTTGTTGCGGTTGCACCCGATTCAAGAGCCGAATGGCTCACAGGGCTATACCTAATAAATGAACTTAAACTTGAACTCTCCTTGCCATGCAGGCCTTAATAAATGCTTACTCACGACACTGTCACCCAACAGTCTATGCACGCAACACGAGGGATCTTTGTTTTCCAGTCCAGGTATGTGTGCGTGCGTGTGGTATGTGTTCCAGTCGGGGCAGGCAATGATTTGGAGGCCGAACTCAACAGGGCCCAGGCGAAGCCTTCTACGTGGCGTGTGACGTCACAAAAGAGGAGCAAATAAAGGTGCGTCTTAAGATGCTGCGGGTTCACTCGTAGGCTTACCGCGTATTGCACGATGTTTTTTTGCCGCCTGTTGGTGATGCGGACTTTTGCGGCAGTGACCATTGTCAATGTGCTACGCTGATGAGTCCGAATGATGACGAAACCAATCCACACAGCTGCGTCTATCATTTCTCCACTGTTGCTGTCGGTCGGCCAAATTTTGCTCAAATTCGTTTTGATGGTGTCCGAAGCCAAGAGGACCACAATGCACTTCTTCAGGAAATGCTGATGGATTTATGCATAATGCGGCTGTGTGCTTTGCTCACGCATGTTTGCATCTTGTTCGGAACTCGTGGCGACACACGGATTATCTTGTCAATTTGGGGATTTGTTTGGAAATTGGCTGTGCAGGAGAGAGATTTCACCAGATTAAAGGCTTGAGTGTATTTATTTCCTGGCACGCAGTGATTTACCCCTCTCCCCGGGGCTGTTTGTTATCGGTCGCACTGATTCTTTATTATCCAACATCAGGGACTGAACGACAAGATATGGATAAGTATAGTTCCCCCTTCACACCGCTGTTTTCTTAAGAGCTGTTGTCACAGGTGTACCCTGTGCCATTTGTCTCTGTCGCTGCTGCTGCTGCAGTGACTCACGAGTTGTCGTGACAGGCTGTGCACCTGTGCCGTCTCGTTTCTGTTTCCCGTGTACTCTGGTGCATGCTGGGTCAACAGCTGCTCATTGTCCCTCTGCTCATTTTAACGTACAGTCCCTTCTCCGATAACGCGGTCGTAGTTGCGATCCTGCAGAACAAAAAAACATCGCGTTATAATGAATAGTATGCAATATGGGGTACAGCGCAGGCCGCGATAACGCGTGAGATGCGTACGCGGGCTGAACGAGGACTTGAGGCGCGTGGGTAGCATCTAGAAGCATCCAGCAGCATCCCAGTGCCTCGTGCGATGCTACGCCGAGGCAGCCGTACGACCGCTTATTCAAACCTCGCGCGGCGTAGCTCTGTTCACTCGATCGGGTTATATCCAATTTTTTCGTTATATCCAATTTTTTCGTTATATCCAATTCGCGTTTCGAAAAAACCACACGTTACAGGAGAACACACCGTACAAACACTTACCGAGCGTAATGCAAATGCGACGATGGACGACGATGCTCAGGAATAAAATAACGGAGCGGCAGAGTCAATGAAGGGAACGCGTCCCGAAAGCACGTCCACTGAGGAGATGGAGCGATGAAATCGGCTCGTGCGGAGGTGCCTGGTGGATTGTTTCATCGCGAGATCGTGATGGGTGGCGTCAGCTTTCGGGAGTGGGGAGGCGGGGGGAATCCATCCAGCAGTGGATTGATTATAGCTGACATAATGATATAATTCTCATCAGGCATGATCGTAATTATAATGCACTTATACTGGGAGGAACCTCCTGGTTCCACCAGCCCACAGGGGATTATTGTGTCCGTCCGCCGTGCATCCAAAAATGGGAGGGGTGGGGAGGGGCTGGGTGGGGAGGGAGGGGCTGGGTGGGAGGGTGGGGAGGGGCTGGGTGGGGAGGGTGGGGAGGGCTGGGTGGGGAGGGGCTGGGTGGGAGAGGGTGGGGGGAGGGGCTGGGTGGGGAGGGTGGGGAGGGGCTGGGTGGCGAGGGTGGGCTGGGGTGGGGAGGGGCTGGTCACCCGTGGTGCCTTATAAAACTCAACGTTTAACCTACTCACGCCGGCTTGTGCCCGCCCTCACAGTCGGCCATATTTGCGGAATACACCACGCCGCCGTTGACCCTGGCCATTGACCGAGCAACCCAACGTTCCTACTAGCTCCCTCCGCAGGAATGTGTTTTCTCCAGGAAAGCCACAATGTGTTATTTAGGAGGGTCCTGCTACTGCTGCATTGGGGTTTTTATTTAAGATGTTTTCAGTCAATTAATAATGAGTTGTGTGGAGAAAACCCACGCCTTTGCGCGAGGGGGCAACGCTCTATCTCCCGCACGGATGGACTAAACAGATGGCGATTAGTCCACTCGCTGGACCGCCTTCTCCTGGCGAACCAATGTTTGAAACGAAATAACGCATGATGTAATTGTGAAATCCATAAACCTCTCTGATTAGGAGCAGTTTGTTCGAGTTTATAAAATGTTGGCTGGGTCGTCATTAACCCTCCGTTCCCATGGGGGCTGTTGCTGTAAAATGACCGGCGCACACCACCAGAGGGCATGATAACCATGATCACACTGAGCGGGCTTATTGTATGAGTGTTTTACTTATATAAAAAATTTACCTATTGTTTTTATCATCATTTGTAGCAATCTAGATGATCATTGATGCATTATCATGCAGTAAAATAGTATTACACACTTAACAATCTCCATTCTTGCATATTTTCTAATGTCCGTGCTACTTGCCTTCAACAGTCCCCACTTTGACCAGCGTGGTGAAGTATGGTCAAAATAACACCCTCACAGCTTGCATCCGGAAGTTTGACAAGGGTTGTTTCAGGTCAACAGTTGTAACGTTTTGAATTTAAATTCTGCTCAAGGGTTAACTTGGTCCATCATCATTGGAACCCTCATTTGCCAGTAACAAAAATATGATAATTGGTTTTTTAACCCTTTTATCTGGCAACAAAACTGACACCTTTTTTACAAGCAGTCATGTTTGCATGACCACATACCTGCAGTCGGAAATGCAACAAAAAAACATAACGCTGATAATGTATGCACTGTCCTTGAAATTGATTGGTCCACACCCGAGACAGCTTTCTTTAGAGCCTAGTCTCACTTGGTGTTGGACCAGATGACGCCAAAAGGCGCACAACTCAAGGACATCATGCCGATGACCTCAATAAATTAAATTCCACTGGATAGGAAGTTAACCAGTGGTTGTCATATGAACATAATGGGCTCTGTCATAGTAACGTGGAATTTCCATTCCACCACTGGCTTCACCACCGGCTTGGGAAGCTAATGGAAAAAGCACCGGTGAGTTATCATTTAAGAGTTTGTGGGTGCCCACACTGCATGTTGAACTTCTTTCACACCATACTCAGCCATCCACGCTAATTGTATGTGCGGGTGCTCATCTTGAACGTTCAGTAATGGTGACGGTGGTGATGCTTACGTACGTACGCATGCATGCGTGTGTGCCTGCCTCTTTAGAACCTCATCGATGTGACGGTTCAGAAATACGGCCGCATCGACTGCCTTGTGAACAACGCTGGCGTGCGTGAGTACGGCACGGTGGCACTGTCGGGATATGCAGTCACTCTTAACACGGTAGATGCGTTCCTGAAAAGTTCCGCTGAAGCGAAAAAAAACGCGTTAAGCGAAAACTATTTCCCCCATAAATAACGATAACTTTGTCGAGATACATGACTATGCACACGCAGTGCGATGGCGGGACAAGTAACTGAGGGCAATTACCCTTGTTGAACGTGGTGGTGAATGTAGTGGCCCCTAGTGGATGCAGCAGTCAATTATTTCCCCTACAATGTGGACCCAAAATCATCGATTCTGATACCGTAGTTCGTCGGTCAACGTTTTTAAATCCGTTCCCACGAAAACTACCGTTAACCCAAATAATTGCTAATCGAATTCACTCGTGAGTTGAAAAACAAGTAAAAATCACTGATGAGTTAATGAGTTAATGATGACGTCACCCTGCTGCTGCTCTATATAAGAACGGGAGACACAGCAGAGCCTCACCATTCTGGCGAATTGCCCGATAGATGCTGGATGCAATTACCACGAAACGTCCGTACTCAAATTGTAAATGTTGTGGTTTCACGCTTCAACACACCGGTGGGCTAAAGCAGTGAACTATTTGTCTTTTGTCAACGTGACACTTTTTACTGATTGGCCGTGTCGGTGGTGGAGGGTTACGACACATTTATAAATACGCGATCTAAACCCAAAAACGTTGATTATGAA